GTAACAAATGGTAAAATAAACCAGCAACTTTACTCTATGTTGTGCGGACTCTTCATTTTTGCCGGCGAACCCGTCTTGAAGCAACCCTAGTGCGGGTGCAGGGTGAGTGTTGGATTCGGTCAATCCGATCTGAACTTTGACCAGAGCCGAGAAAATTTTTGGGGAAACAAAAATCAGTTTCCGACGACGTCTTCCGAGGGGAGGCGGAGCTACTTTTCAAGATAAAGCTTGAGAAAGTTAAAGAGAATAAAGATTGAAAAAGTACATGAAACTTAAAAAAGTTTCTTGAAAAAATACATACAGAGAATACAAAGCTTTTTTATCTTTCTTGAAAAAGTAGTCTCTTCAGTTTTTCTTGAAAAAGAAAACTAGAGACAAAGGGTTTCTCTAGATAAGAGTGTCCTTTTAATTATAAAATAAATTAAACTTTTAATGTTTATTATATTCTCACTCTTCTTTAACGATTATACTTCTTTTATTTTGTATGCAATTATACAAAAATATCCAATTAATTATTATATATATTTCATAAATCTTTTTAGTGATATTTTATTATATATAGTTAGAATATATTTATAATTATATTTTTATAATATTGAAATTTTTTAGCCGTATCCCCGCACCCGTATCCATATTCGGGTTTGCACCCCGAATCTTAAAATTTAGATTTTGCCGAATCCAACTCGGATTCGCATCCGGATATCCGCACCCGAGTCCGAGTAACTTAGGCTTTACTAAGCATGTCTAGTCTAAAATCACTTTTTCTTTTTTGTCATTGTTCTTCCTACCAGCATGTTTTGAATGAATACAGCAAGCTACATCAGTGAATGTAGGGCAAGGAAAATAGAAAATAAGAAACTTATGTCAACTTAGATAATAGAAAGATGGATCAAAAAGGTTAACCAGGATGCTTGTGTTAATCTAGCAATGGGCTCACCTTTATATCAGCATGTCTTGAAGTAGCATGAGAATTTAGCAATTTCTTCTGATCTTCAGATGAACAATTTTGGCAAAAGAAGTGGTCAAGTCTCTTGGCTTCCTCTGGCGTCATGTCTATACAAGTAGGGTGAAACCTGGATGAAAATTGATTGCACTTAGTTGCAGTCATTTCAGATGTTAGAAGTAGACGCAAGTGATGTACCAGTTTAGGAAAATGCTTTGTTGCTTAAGAATCTTGACATATGAATGGCTTTAATCATGCAACTATGCTAGCAGAAAACTTAACTGAAGACATGTCAGCCCTTAAACAAAAAAATCCATATTTTCACCTGAATCCAGTCGGGAAAGGTTATCAAGAATCTGATGCATTCAGCTCTAAGGCTTCTCCCACACTATGGTATCCTTCCAAAACAAGATTTTCGATGCAGAAAAGTACATACCTAATATTACTAAAGGCCTGACAACCTAAGATAGCTAAAATAATGGCGTCTTTCTGTTTTCGCATTAAAAACTCGGATTTTGTCTTTCGAGCAAAGATTCCTGATGGTTTCTTCATTCGCTCTTTTGCCCAACCTAGTTGCAGATAGGTGGAGAGATGAAAGTTCAATACAAGCAGAGTAAAAAACAAAACAGACCAAATCTCCAAACTTAACAAGAACTCTGGTGTTCAAACCACAATGGAAATAAATTGATCAGAAATATCAAAACCCTCTGAAATAAATTGTTAACATACTACAAGAGAGTCTGTCATGTTAAACTTCGTCTATCCCACTATGAATATATTGTTAAACACAAAAACCTTACCAACATTCAATTTTTCAAATCAGAACCCTTCAATTAACTTGATTAAGTAATAATTTGAGGAGAGAAAGTGTTAATTAACTATGGTTCAGTGATAAAATGCACATGTCATACATTTATTTGGTTGGTGTAAACTCCGTGTGTAGGTAAATTCTTTCCATAATTTGACTTCCTGAACAAAGCATATTCCAAATCTGACCAGCCATATAGATATGCATAACACATCAGCATACATGATTAAAGATATACCAGAAAAGCTGATGGCAGTACAGATATCTAACGGACATGTAATAGGGAACTTACTCCCTTTTTTGTCAGTATGATAAGGCGCTTACCAATATCACATCAAGGAAACTTTTTTTACACAAATAGGAAAGCAAAGAAAAATAAGTGTTTCAAAGTAGAAAATAGGCTATGGAAGCATTTCCGGGCATAAAGAAAGTTGAAAAATCATTCCGGCTTGCGTCTGGAGGTCAGTGTGGAAAGAAAGAAATCTCATATACTTCCAAAACAAGAGAAATTCCATCCAGAAGATTAAGATGAACTGCTTAGTTTTGTTTCTTTTATGGTGTAAACAGGAGTACATGATAGATCTAGAATCAGTTACATATGTTTTAGGTTCCTTGTAAATTTTGCTACAGGATTAAAGATCTTCCTACTCTCCACAATTGTAAATAGGAACCTGTAATTTGTTGTAGCAGGTTCTGGTTTTTGTTTTGGAATAGAATACAAGTTTTACCTTCTCAAAAAAAAAAAAGTAGAACATTATCTGTACTGCATCATGCACTCAAAAAATGTCTGAGTAACCACACTATGTGGATAAACTTGCTCCCAACATTCGAGCAGAAGTCATACAACATGTTAAAAGGTATCATGATCCTCCATCAGGTAATGTCTGAGTAACTCCAGAAACTCATGAACAGCTTGAGTCGCATACCCTGGTGCAACTAATGGCCAACTTTTCTTTTGAAATTAGCTCTTGCACTATGTCGTGACTCATCAAAAAAGAAAATAGTACACATAGAGCGTGTAATAAAACATAGGAAAAGGCTTTGAGATTGGAAACTAGTGCATGACCTATACTATTTAGCAGCAATTCATACTAAACTATTTGCCTGTTATGAGTAACTTTAAAACATGAGAAGATTTTTAACATCATGTAACTGAGAACTAAACAAGAAACCAGATAATAATATATTACCTACCATGAGAAAAATGTGAAGGATCAGACTTACCAGTCACTGCAGCCCTCACATTGAACCATGAGGTCATCAGGATTGTATGGCATTTCACATTTACAGTACCTGCCAAATTAGGACCAGAAAGAATACTTAGTGATAAATTTAAGGTCAAAAACTTCCAAAAAGATGTTGTTTCCTTGTAAACATCACGTAGTTAGTATTGTAGCTACATAAAAGCACGAAACCATATAAATGTCTTTAAACTGAAAACATTATGCAGAAAAATAAATTACTGCTCCTCAACAAGCTATTACCAAATCATTAATTACTGATAATGCAAAAATCTGAAGTCAATTACCACTTTTTTACAAAGTACTAATTAAATAGAGATTGTAAGGAGAAAAGCCACAATTTTTAACAAATTTTGTACATACACAGCAACTCTGTCAGGATTAAATGCTCCGGTAGAAGAATTGTAGTCAAATCGGCAAAAGAAGTCTTCGTTCCCAACAGCGTCGAGTTTGGTGTAGCTCTTGAATGTGTGGACCGTACACTTGCCTTCAATTGTGTCGGCACTTTGTATATCTCGGTGATCGGACATAAAAAGTTCCTTGGAGCCGTGAAACTGACGTCGGCCGCCGATCGACTCCTCCGGACGGTAGTACCACCGGACGTGAACCCTGACGTTGCCACCTCTATTGTCGGACTCAATCTTCTCAACTCGAGCAACGTACGACGGCTTTGACGACTCCGACGCTCTCATCAACACGCAGTCGCCGGCTGAAGAACGTTTCCAGGTAGCGCATGTTAGATTTCCCGGCGAAAAAAGTTTTTTTCTGGAAAATTCAGAGAAGGTTTATGGAGTAGAACTTACCTCGAACGGTCTTGTTGATGGATTTGACAGTGTAAGAATCTAGGGTTCGACGATTTGTACGAGTTTTAGCCATGGACTGAAGGAGGAGTGTGTAACACTACAAAAGTCATGCGCCTGAAACAGCAAACAGTGCAGGAAGAACAAACAGGAGAGAGATATATGAATCCAGCCAAGCCAGGATGTGTCACCAGGGCTCCTCTTTTTTCCTTATTAGATTTTTTTTTATCAAGTTCAGGAGAAACACTATTTTTCACTTTTTAATAATTAAAAAATATCCAATAACTTTGATTTCATGATTTTATTTTAATTTAGATAATATTGGAAAAAAAATTACTCCTTCAATTTCATTTTATTTATCTGACTTTAGTGTCATCTGTAGCAAAGAAAACTTCCTAAATTATGTATCACCTTAATAATTCAAGAAAATAATTAATGTATATTACTTTCTAACTATATTATTATATTTCATAATTTTATTAGTATATTATATGTTTGAAAAGAAAGAAAAATATTTTTCAATTCTTATATTTAAAAAATATTCTCTCTAAAAAAAATGAACTCGTCGAAAATAACGAAAAATAATGTATACGTATGTGAACATTTTAAGTTTCCTTCCCAACCATCCAATTCTAACCTCGAATCACCTCTCTCCATTTCTATTTTGCTATCGTAATATTTTGCTAGATAATACTCTTTATGTTCTTATTTAATTATCCAATTTTTAAAAAATACATATTAAGATAATAATAATTAACATTTACAATTTTACCCTTATTAAAACTTGTTTTAAATAAGAATATAATAGAAAAAAATAATTTATCCTTTTTTAGTTTGTCAAAATGAACAAGTAAATAAGGAATATGGACATGTAAATAGTGAGAGAGGCAGTATATATTTTTCTTTATTTTTTTAAAAAATATCTATTTTTCTATATTTATTTCAAAAAGAATAAATTTTTTTTGATAATATTTAATTTTAATTTTTCATGTGATATGTTTAAGAATACAAAATTGAAAACGTAAATTTATATTTTTTGACATAATTATTTTATTTTTTAAATTTCATATTAAGTCAGACTAGATCATTTTTTTTTAAACAGACGATTATGTTCTGAAATAATATTTTTTTATTTTATTCATCAAACACTATAAAATAAAAATATTTTTATGTTGGAAAACATTATACCTGAATAGTTTAGTAAAACAGTTGATTTCTTTAATATACTAATTTTGCCAAATGATACTTAATTTCAGACACTTGACATTGTTGCATTTTTCAGTTCAGTTTATATCTTTCACAGGCCACCCGTGAACTCTCTGCATATTTCCCATGATCGAAGTTCACTAATGAACTCTATCAGTTGCCAGCAACTGGAGCACAAACTCTCACCTTTTGGGCGCAAATTGATCTCCTCCGTTGCCTTTGCTGGTAGCACATCTAGTTTCCCTGAGCAGCCCCCTATTCAGTTTCTCACCAAATCGAGAAATATTATTCACTCAAAACCCGAAATATCCCATGCCCATCTCATTAAGACTCAGAATCTTGAAGGCAATACACATGCTGCAAATTCTGTGCTTCATAACTATGGTGAATATTCAAGAATGGACAATGCAGCCAAGGTGCTTGAAGAAATGCCTAAACAAAATTCTGTTTCATGGAATTTGATGATTTCTAATTCAAATAAAGCATTACTGTACCAAGATTCTTGGAGGCTATTTTGTAGGATGCACATGTTGGGGTTTGACATGAATATGTATACTTATGGTAGTATTCTTTCTGCCTGTGGTGCTTTAACATCTACATTGTGGGGTGAGCAGGTTTATGGGCTTGTGATGAAAAATGGGTTTTTTTCGGATGGATATGTAAGATGTGGGATGATAGAATTGTTTTCTAGAAGCTGTAGGTTTAGTGATGCTTTAAGGGTGTTTTATGATTATCTGTGTGATAATGTGGTTTGCTGGAATGCTATCATATCGGGAGCGGTGAAAAATAGGGAGTATTGGGTTGCTTTGGATATTTTTAGACTAATGTGGGGTGAGTTCTTAAAGCCTAATGAATTTACTATTCCAAGTGTACTGAATGCTTGTGTTTCATTGTTGGAACTTCAATTTGGCAAAATGGTTCATGGAGCGGCTATAAAATGTGGTCTGGAAAGTGATGTTTTTGTGGGGACTTCTATTGTTGATTTGTATGCAAAATGTGGGTTTATGGATGAAGCATTTAGGGAACTCATGCAGATGCCAGTCAGCAATGTTGTTTCTTGGACTGCAATGCTAAATGGTTTTGTGCAGAATGACGATCCTATTTCTGCAGTTCAAATTTTTGGAGAAATGAGGAATAAAGGGATAGAGATAAACAACTACACTGTCACCTGTGTGCTTGCTGCCTGTGCTAATCCTACTATGGCAAAAGAAGCAATCCAAATCCATTCTTGGATCTATAAGACTGGATATTATCAGGATTCAGTTGTGCAAACGTCTTTTATCAATATGTACTCGAAGATAGGAGATGTTGCCTTATCTGAACTAGTCTTTGCAGAGGCTGAAAATCTGGAGCACTTAAGTTTGTGGTCTAATATGATATCTGTTCTTGCCCAGAATAGTGATTCTGACAAGTCAATTCATCTATTTCGGAGAATATTCCAAGAGGACTTGAAACCTGATAAGTTCTGTTGTTCTAGTATCTTGGGAGTTGTAGACTGTCTAGACTTGGGTAGACAGATACATAGCTATATCCTTAAATTAGGGTTAATCTCTAATCTTAATGTGAGCAGCTCTCTGTTCACGATGTACTCAAAATGTGGTAGTATAGAGGAATCATATATTATATTTGAGCTGATTGAGGATAAGGATAATGTCTCATGGGCCTCAATGATTGCTGGTTTTGTAGAACATGGTTTTTCAGATAGAGCCGTTGAACTTTTCAGAGAGATGCCCGTGGAGGAAATCGTTCCTGACGAAATGACATTAACTGCTGTCCTTAATGCATGTAGTTCTCTTCAGACCTTGAAGTCTGGGAAAGAAATTCATGGCTTCATTCTTCGGCGTGGTGTTGGTGAGCTTCACATTGTCAATGGTGCCATTGTGAATATGTATACCAAGTGTGGTGATCTAGTTTCGGCAAGAAGTTTCTTTGATATGATACCCCTTAAAGATAAGTTTTCATGTTCTTCCATGATAACTGGATATGCTCAAAGGGGTCATGTGGAAGACACACTTCAGCTGTTCAAGCAAATGCTGATAACTGATTTAGATAGTAGTTCCTTTACAATTTCTTCTGTTCTTGGGGTTATTGCTCTTTCTAACAGATCTCGCATTGGTATCCAAGTGCATGCACATTGTATAAAAATGGGATCACAATCAGAAGCATCAACGGGAAGTTCAGTAGTTACGATGTATTCAAAATGTGGAAGTATTGATGATTGCTGCAAAGCATTCAAAGAAATTTTGACACCTGATTTGGTTAGCTGGACTGCTATGATTGTAAGCTATGCTCAAAATGGAAAAGGGGGTGATGCGTTGCAAGTATACGAGTCAATGAGGAATTCAGGAATCCAGCCTGATTCAGTAACTTTTGTTGGTGTTCTTTCTGCTTGTAGCCATGCTGGTCTGGTTGAAGAAGGGTATTTTTTTCTAAATTCAATGATGAAAGACTACGGAATTGAACCTGGTTATCGCCATTATGCCTGTATGGTAGATCTTCTCAGTCGCTCTGGTAGATTAACTGAGGCTGAGAGATTCATTTGTGATATGCCTATAAAACCTGATGCATTGATCTGGGGAACATTACTTGCTGCTTGTAAATTGCACGATGAAGTTGAGCTAGGAAAGCTGGTAGCAAAAAAGATCATAGAGTTGGAACCGAGTGAAGTTGGTGCATATGTCTCATTGTCAAATATCTGGGCTAGTTTGGGCCAATGGGATGAAGTATTGAAAATAAGAGGTTCATTGCGAGGAACTGGGATATCAAAGGAGCCTGGATGGAGTTCTTTGTGAAATGCATTTTCAGTACAATAAATCCTTGCACCTGCTCTTTACTTGTTGGTGTATGAATGTTCTTCAAGGCAGGGAACATTCAAAGGAGCTGGGAGAGATCAAGGTACTGATGCGATCTGAACTAGACAATTTACTTTGCTGAATTCAGACGTCACTAATTATTCTCTCTTGCGGATGGTTTCAACCACGAAGAATATATAACAAATGTTTTATAAAGATAATGTAGTCATTTTCGTGTATAAACACAGTCAAACACACTAAAATACCATCAGGGAATGGCCTTGGCAAGTGCCGGTGTGTCTCAACAACGTGGATGTACGCCTCTTGCAGTTCCATCAACAATCAACCAAGCACATCTGCAGTGATTTCCTAGTTTAACTTTAGTATAGGGTTCTTCTGTCATCCCATGAACTGGTTCTGCTGGTAAGTATTTCTCAAGAACATGAGATATATACTTCATCAAATAAAAGAAAAATAATACATTTCTCTAAAGGGATTGAGGAGAAAATTTGGATAATTTCATTTTCTTGTTTCCAGTAGGTATTTATTGAAATCATTGAATGGTGATAACTATATCTAACAAAATTAACATTTTTTTGGTTTCCATTGTTCGATACCAACATTGGAACCCGACTAAATTCGAATTTAGTAACGGGCAGTGACATAAGCAAAAGATTTCATAAGCCATGTCGCATCTTATGAAATATGCACATCTCCCCTTGACATGGGGGATTTTGAGGTATTATAGCTATTTTGTACTAAAATTTACTTTGCTAAGGAGATTGCAATTTAGTTGCACGTTTTTGTAACACAAATTAACGGCTTAGATTGCAGGGACCTTGAGGGTGGGAAGTACAAAAGAAAAAGAATCTAAAGCAATTGAAAATTGAAATTTTGATCAGAATTCTTTTTTCCAACAATAACTTGTAAATATATATACACTGATGAGGAAGACAAGCAGTGGCATTGCAACCGTATTTTGAACAAAGATAATTTTGCAAAGCAAATAAGCTAATTATTGCTGAAAAAACTAGCATAGGAGTTTTTTCATTGAACTATTTCGTTCTATGAGACCAAACTTTACTTTCTAATTAGTGGTACCTAAATAATATCATATCTATACATGTGTAATTGACCGTTTGACAAGAGAAATCTTTGATGCATCCCCACCTATCTCCTCAAAAACTACCAGCAAGTTCCCAGTTGGCTTCAACCAAGATCGAGGAACGTGGTACCTAAAACAAACCAATATGTTAAAGAGTTAGCATCTTCTCATTTATCAAGTAACATACTAAAGTTATCTGCATACCATCTTTGAGTTGGCTGGCCGCAACCAGATTGGCACTTTCCTTGTCTGTATGTAGCTGCATAAGTACAAGGACTGCAGTTACCAGTGGCATAAGCGGTCCAGTATCTTCCAATGCTCTGTCCATTGATCCATACTTGACCTTTTCCCATACTACCCATGTCCAGTGCTAATGGATCACTTCCTCCTGGTGCATTGAAATATACCTGAAAGTTTCATGAAGAATCTCAGTATTCATGGTCATGATCAAGGTTCCACCTTTTCATTTCTCATTACTACAGCTCTATACAAAAATATTAATCTTATCTTCAAACATCAATTATCTAACTCTTAATATCAGGAAGTGTGATCAATTCTGATGTTTCAAAAGTTACAGCAAATAGTATACAAGTGATCTCCATCAGCGAGTACATTTTTTAAGGGTTCTTCGTATTACTTTTTTCCTCAAGTAATAATCATCTGTAAAGCAGTTCAATTTGGAAATTCTTCTGTCCTGTCCTCCATATGTACAGAAGCAAAAATATATACCTTGTACCATGTAAGAGGTTGTCGCTGTCTTGCAATCAAAGAGCCTCCTACCCATTCAGCAGCAGATATTGCATTTGAAGCCAAGTTCATGGCCTCGCCTCTCAACCCCACCTGTGCAAAAACATTCAAAGTTGTGGTGAGGACATCTAAGAGGCCAAAGCATGAACAAGAAATTAGGATTGGCACCTGATATGACCATTTCTGCCATGATAAGTCCCTTTGACCCTTGTCTAGCCCATGAAGAACGACTGGCCCAAGGACTCCTGCACTCCATGTCTCATAACGTGCTCCGTTGTTCTTCAATTACAACAAACCAACACACAAAGGTGAAACCAATTTTGACAAGCAAGAAAGTGATAAGTGATTTATGGGATCCACAATGCAGAAATATCTTCCCACCATCCATGCCCAAACTCAAGTTGTAAAACTTAGTTGTTGCTATTTATTCTAAAAATCTGACATTTGTTCCCCTCATATTGAATTTATTGAGAATCTTTGATATCTTGAGTGTGAGTCTTAAAAAAGAGACTAACCGGCAATCCAACAGCTACACTGAGTAGAGAAATTCTGTTTATTCCAGCATGCAGGTTAACACCTCCTGTAAATGTAACTCTTCGGTTTTCTCGGTTTCCATAAACTGAACCTGTAAATGGAACCGGGAACTCTTAAAAGGAATCTAACATTTGATGTTTCTCAACAATAAAATGTTACCATGAGTCAACTAAAGGAGAGCATTTGCACCTGAAAGCCGTCCATTAACATAAACGTGCAAGGCATGGCCTGCTGACTGCACAGCAAGAGTAGGATGTTGCCCTCGGTGTAGAAATGATTCAGCTGAATTTATCTCGACGCTAAAAAGTTCAATGACATGGTCAGACAGATATACACGTTTGTCAGCAGGCATATAAAATGTTTTCTTTCATACCTAGTGGTGTACCAAAGGTAGTCACTCATATCCCTGGTAACATTTAATTGCTCCAACAGACCAACAACAGTGAACTTTGAATCCGCGTCAATGGTGGATACATCTTCGCTAAATGTTTCCCAAGTGCGCAGTTGTACATTTGTGGGCAGCATTTGTGCAGTGGATGTCTTGACTCCAACCTGATTTGAAGAGCAAAAAAATACACTGTAAGTTGGCAACTGAGTACCTCCTAGTAGCTTCAGTTTTCATCTTTGTAGATCATGTTAATGGGAATAAAATGCCAAGTGTTTGTTTAGTAGACACAACATTGTCAACTATTATGAATTTATTATTTTCTTAGGAAGTAGGGAGTAGATGGTATATTAAGAATGATTATAACCTAACGTTAGCAACGGGGAAATATTTATTTGTGAACGACTCTTCAGCTCCAATGAATAAAAGAAGAGGACATACAACAGAAGTTACTATTGTAATATATACATACCCTGGCAGTATTATATACAACATTTTTACAATCTGGAAGAATGCTTATTGACCAAGGTGGCAGATCGTAATGTTGGTGCCTAAATGTCACCCTTGCAGTTGAACTCAAATGGTAATTTGCAAGAAAAGCAGCACAATGTCCAGAGCCGGAAGAAAATACATGTGCCTGCAAAATGGAGAAGATTTCAGAGTTTTAGAAGGTCAAACATATATGAATCGGATATGTAAAAGAATATGTCAATGTAATAAACAGAGAGAACAAAGAATTATTGATCATCTATATTCATTAGAAATTTAAACATTGATTTGCATACTCATTCTCTGTGTCAGGGTTGAAATACTTAAGAAACCAATATTTCTTTTTAATTTGCACCCGCTTCCTCAAAGCAGTAGTGGTGGGTGTTGTGGTACTCCGCATCAACTGGCATCCGTGTCTACTCATAGTAACACCCCTACCCCCAAAAATCTGATGAAAAGAGTCAACAAAACGAGGAAAAGAGATAAGAAAGGCACCTGTTCATAGTTCCCTAAGACAGTAACGGTAGGATCAGCAGAAATTAGTGCTGGTTCACATAACTTGACAGCCTTATGAAGCTCCTTCAAATGGTCATACTTTGGCTGCCTAATCAAGCCTATAAAATAAGCACGGGGAACTAGTTAGTATATACGAAGAATTTGAACTACATGTGAAGTTGTGCATCTAAATGGTACTAGCTCAGTCTCTGACCATATTCATCAATAGGAGCATCATAGTCATAGCTGGTAGTGATAAAAGGCCCTCCAGCTGTTCTTCCAAAGTTGGTTCCCCCGTGATACTGTTCAAAGAGAAAAAAGAAACATCAGTTAAGGTAAAAAGTATCATCACAAGTTGCACGCATGATTGATTCCATAGCGCCAGTAAATCTCTTGATTGTTTATAAGTAAAATTATTTATATCCTTAATTTTTTTAGAAATGACTAGTGTAGTAGAGCTCTTGATACCATTTTCATACACTCATTTGGTAAGACTTTAATATGTAATGTCTGAAGAATGAGAAGTACATAAAAGCCACTGAATTTAACAGTTAAGACTTGGTGATGGGTCAAGATGACAATTCAGATAACTATAGAAGATTATTTTCCGAAGCACGGGTAATTTTGCATTACAAATTTCGTGCATCAACATAATAGACATGCACTTTTAAACAACAGGCATATCATCAATTGATATAGAACTTCGGAGAAGTAGTTATTAGTTAAATTCCATGTACAGGAGCTGCAGTAATGAGATTTCAAAAGCTGTAGGAAATCCACCCACCATATAATAATTCACCAAAGAGCCACCTTTTTGAATGAACCGAGCTACTGCAAAGGCCAAATCTTCAACTGGTCGATGATGAACTGGACCGCCAAAATCATCAAACCTTTACACATGAAGAAACTTGAGTAAATCATCCCAACATGGAAAAGTATTAATCATACAGCAAATGCCAAGTATAATGAATTTACCAGCCACTCCATGCCTCTGTCCATATTGTTGGCTTGTTAGGTTTGTTAGGGGAAAAATAATCACAATAAAAACCATTGCAGGTGTTTATCTGTCACCAAAATAAGACTTTAAGTTTAGCATAACACTAGGTAATCCCAAGCACTCACAATCAGCTTTCCTATATAATTGACTTTCTATAAGAAATATTTCCTAATCTGGTAATATGAGGGACAAATCGAAACAAGTTGAAAGAAGGAGCCATAAGAATTGAGTGTTGCACTCAGTTTACTCAATGAACAAAGCAAATCCAATCTTGTATAGTGCGAAAAAACATCTTACCACTGGATCAGGGGCATCATCCTCCTTGCACATGACCCACGGGACCCCAGTACCCATTTCAACAGCCATTTTAGCTGCCCAAGTCATGTATGCATGACCTGGAGCACCATATTGTTTTATTTCTAACCCATACTCGTTCTCAATCTGCATCAACACTTCTAAACATAAGTATCTATGATGCTTCATTATTGCAAAGCATCATATTGCACATGGGATGAGGAAAGAAAACTGATGATCCAGACTATGAGTTTCCTCACATGTCATTAAATTGCTTTAACTTTTCAGTACACACCAGATGCCTCAATATGTGGCTTCTATCATGAGTGAAATGGTAGAAAATCATACCTGAGACAGAATGATAGGACCACCTTGGGTCTGAAATAGCTTCTCATTCTTCATCATTTGGACAATTTTCGTGGTGAATCTTTGCATTTCCCTCTGCAAGACAGAAATTACAGTCCACTGTGATTTAGCTTCCAAGATAAACAACAACAACAACAATTTCATAACAAGTGGGG